AATTATAAGCTTATAAATACTCCAGAAGGCACAATTCTTGACAGTTATAGACAAAACTTGATATATAGTTTTTATCACCTAAAAATGAACCTTAATAAAAATCGAAAATATTTAATATGAGTTATTGCCCTTGCTTTTGAAATTTCGTTCAATTATTAGCCATTTTTGGTACTGAATTTATTTTATACTTTCCTGAAAATTAATCAACTTTCAAATGACTCCATTCTCTATAAGTATATTTATCAGAAATGGCAGACTCTTAGACATGATTAAATTCTGTCTGGTCAAATTATTTTTGATTAATATTACTCACTACTATTCCAAATTGGAAATCATTTTGTAAACTCAAGAACAATAAGGTTTTCAGTCTTTCCCATATGTATCTTAACATTTTTATTTTTTGCTCTTTTCATGATGAAAATTTGCATATCAAATAGGGTATGTGATGTGTAAGGGTTTCAGCCTGGGGTTTCCTACATAAAAGTCCAAATTCGCTTCACAAACTTTAATAATCAAACATCAGATTTTCGTAAAAACACGCACTTTTTCTCAATACACAATATCCCTCTAGGGAACAATTGACAATTGCCTAAGCAGGCGTGATTATCCAGTCACAAATGGAAATGGGAGGGTCTAATACTTCAAATGGAACATAACAGGTAGATTTGAAATTTTGAAGCTATAATGATTAACGATTATTTTACAATTCTAAAGAACTCTCTTAAATATTTTAAATTCAAACATTTAGATACATTTAAATCTGGCTAAAGGGAATGTAGGCTGATTCTTTTAAGAACTTTGAAACTGCATAACTTCTTGACATTTTCAAGATTTTGCACAAAATGACAACTCTGAAAGCAGTTTATTTAAACACATAAAATCTAAGTGTAAACCAAACACTAAGTCTTTATTAACAATTTCTATAGATTACTGTCATAAAATTGCTGGCCACATTAAGTTAGCACTAAACTTTAATTTCACTAGAGAAGAAAAAGAATACAAAAGCATGTTCTGCATTCATTTGCAGTCATTTAGTACTGAAGTTTTTGTGGTCTGTGTTCATTAATGTATATGACCAGAATATCTATGCCAATAAACATAGCAGACCTTCCATTCATCTATATCAGAAAAATTATAGACCTTCACTTCATTATTCCAGAAACTTAGTACTAGTTCACCCAATCAGAGTTCCAAACTTTAGATAGTACCTAATTTTGACAACCTTGATTTCTAAATCTCTGGAATAAATACTCATTTCATTCTAAATTCAATTTATAGAAAGAATTTCTGACAACTTTGATTGAGAATAGATTATTTGAGGTTGATTGTACTGTCGAAAACAATCTAATGCAAGCAGACGTCCAAGGGAGATAATGGAGTATCGAAGGGAGATAATTATATTATCATCAGACAGACACACCTGAGATAATGCTATAATCAATATTATCATCAAGTTCAGGCTCTGACAGGCTACATTAAACATGACTTCAAAATTGATTTTTATTTTTTCTGTCATATCTAATTAAATTTATAGTTCATCCACTCTTGGTATTTTTTTTTTATTTGAGTCCAACTAATTATTGAGTGTGATTGTGGTAATGTTCATTATGGCATATTGTGATAAATTTTATTGTACCGGTACTACAATCTGCATTTTATTTACAAGGGTCAATAGTTAAGTCATTTAACACTGATTCTAATCACTGCACATGCATCACATACAAAAAGAATACGATTTATTTTTGTATGTTGAGTGCTAAAGATGTTATTAAAAATCTTCCGTCACTCCCCTGTCTTTGTACATATACATAAGTAAATTTTACTATACCTCTGATTTAAACCTAGTTATAGCACAACTAGGCTCCTCCCATTCATTTTTACACAAAAATATCGAAAAATTCTTTATATTATGTTATAATTCATTGTAAGAAAAATTGGCTATGAATAGACAAATCTCCACTTCTCCAAATTCTAGGCTAGACATCTATCTTGTTAATTTCTTGATCTTATTTTTTAAATCCTGTTATTTTTGTGTATTTTTCAGACATGCAATTTTAGCTCATCTTATAACTTGTTATTATCGTAATATTAGTTCTCTTTCTACCAAATCTCATCAGGCTTTCTGTAAAGCTTGTTCTAGGTAAGATTTATCTCCCTTTTCTTGTAATAAACATCTAACATAGAAGAGAAATCACTTTTTTTAAAAGAAAAGTTCCAAAAAAGGAATACAGTAGCGTGTTTGACAAAATATCAGGGAAAGTGTCTCATGATTATCTTTCCCCCATTTTAGATTAAAACAATATGTAATTTAATGGAAAGAGTTTATGTAGCATTTTTATATGGTTTGGTGCCAGCTTCTTTAAGATAAATTGAAAATCTGATGTATGTAAACAGATGCTTTCTGTGTACCCAATAGACATAAAAAGTTTATGAAATCCTTCACAACCCCTTTAAGATATTGTTTGTTATTTCTGTGTTTTTCAGGATTTGTACTACAGGGTTTAAAAATTTATACCATTATAGAGAGCATAATGAGAACAGTAATCATATAAAGAGTAAATATAATGGTATCATTGAGGAAGATCAACCAGTACCTCGTTTAGTTATTAGTCCTGCTTTATTAGTAGAAATGTTATCATGTTTATATTTTATTATGTAAGTTTAGTTTGCTAAAGCTGTCAATGTTGCAGGTCTGAAGGGCTGACATGGAAAAGGCGTCTAGTCGTTCAGATGGGACAATAAACCCAGGTCATGTGTGCTACATTAGAACCCTTTAACAATTCATTTCAAGATATTATCAATATACATATGTGTACCAAGTTTTCTTTACAAGTTGATATGTAATATATATTTGAATATATTTTAGGTTTAATAATGAAGCAGATCTAGGTATACAAGCTATCAATGATGTACATTCTAGAGCTAATTATGAACTTTATCCAGATGTCTTATTAGTAAGTTTTTATTATTATCATTTAGTTTTACCAGACTCAGCTAATCCTGCTCATTAACCAGCCATTCTCATCACCATCATCTCTTCAACATGTACTAAACTATCAAGGTGCCCTCACACCATAGGGATTACCAGTTATGTATGGTTACGAATAAGAATAGCTGTCATGAATACCAAACACAACTCAATAGCATGAGAGTTTCTTCTCAACTTATGTCGGCTATTCTTCTTTTCAACCATATGCAACTGGTGATCGCTATGGTGTGAAGGCATGTTTCTACGTTACACTCTTGTAAATACACCTCATTGTTAGGATCAAAATGATATATATATGTATTCATTCTGAACAATCAAACACTTGCACAGTCATTTTCGGTTTTTTCTTGATATGAACACAATCACAAAACTTGTGAAAATGTGAGTAAAGGCAACATCTCTCTTAGAAAATATGTCTTTTGATTGGTTAAATTAAAGGTGAAATGATTTCAACTACTATGCTCTAGATCGTCCCATAACTGCTAATTAACTAGTCATGTTCATCACGAGATAAGAGTGAGTGAATTAAATGTGGAGGAAGTTGAGTTGCTAATTTGCAATTAATTTTGGTTAATGATTTCATTAAGAAAGGGAATATATTTTGAAAAATACAATTGGTTTCTATTGTGAAGGGTAGGGTTTGTAAATAGAGTTACCTCCCTTAGATTATATTTCATTGTAAATCTGCAGCAATAGACTCTAGGAGTCAAAAATGGTAAATTTTACTATTTGACAGAATCATTCGATTTGCATTCAAATATGCAACAATATTTTACTCAAATGCACTTAGTATTGCTAATTCAAAAGGATATTTTAGATGATGGTTATAAAATTCCAACAACCTACCAGACCAACAGGCCATAAACTGGGCATATTGCCAATTGTTACATTTCATGCCATGCATCAAAATTCTGAGGATCTATATCATGGAATTATTCTTTATACAAACTAAAACAAAATATATTGTTAACTAGTAAAAAAAGGAATAAAGAAAAAAATCAGTACTGTCCCCAGTAAATTTTTCAAATTTAGTAGTTTGTTCCTTTTATAATGAATCTTAATAATCAATAACAATAGAGATGCCCAACTTTTTGTTGTTAATTGGTTTGATGTTGGTACTAGTTGAGTAAATATCTGCTATAAATTTTTATATGAAATGAAAAAGGGGTGTATATTTGGCCTCACCCATGTCTGCTCGTAAACAGTCTAGAAAGCACAATTCTTGACAGAATTTGACTAAACTTGGTGGTAGTGTAGGATGAAAAATTGAAAAATATTGAGTTTGAGTTATTGCCATTGTTCTTGAAAAGCGTTCGATTTTTTCGCTCTTAAACACCCAAGAAGGCACAATTTTTGATGGATTTTGCAGAAACTTGGTGTAAGTGTTTGCAATCAGTCAAGGATAAACCCTAATGAAAATCAGAAAATTCAAAAAATATTTGATATCATTTGTTATCCTGATCTTGGAAACACATTAGATTTTTAGCTCTTAAACACTCCAGATGGTGCAATTCCCAACAGACTTTGATGAGATTTGGAGAAATTGTTTAATATTTTTACCCAAGGATGAGCCCATATTGAAAATCAAAAAATATTTACATGAGTTATTGACTTTTTTTTTAAAAACACTTTCAATTTTTAGCTCATAAACACTAAAAGGCACTTTTCTTGCCGGATTTTGACAAAACTTTGTAGTATTGTTCAGTATCGCCTCAAAAAGGTCAAAAGAAGTGTATGAATGAATATTTCTTACTGGTGATTGTTACTCTATTCAAAATCAAAGCTGCCAGTAGGGATATATTACCTTGCATGTCAAGCTATCTTTGTAGATGATATGATATATTTCATGTAAAATTTGACAAGGGAAAAAATTGTCTTGCTAAGGACTGCAGGACTGGCGTCATTATCAAGAGAGTTCTCAAGACAGGAGACCATTTCTATTATCTGTATATAAACATTAGGAAGAACTCTTTCCTGAAGTTTCAAAATAACCATCATAAAATATTACAAAGAGGAAAAATAAACTATGACATTTCACTGCAACATCCCTTATCTGTGTTAGATAATACCTTGTGTAACTTTATTATAGGAGAGTTCTACAACTGTGTTTATTTATACAAGTGAAATCAAAGTTAACGGAAGTACGAATAAAGTACATTTCTAACAATATCAGGGCGACATTTAGTGTCTGTTTATTAAAGGGATATAAGTCTGTAAAAATTCAATGAAACAGCTAAGGAATGAAAAATTATTGTTAATGAATTTACATATGTTTTTGAAACTATTTATAAAGTTGTATCTCAATTAGATTTTCAGCTGATGTCTTGTCTTTCATGGCTTTGAATCCGTGAATTCTTTTGCTTAGTTTATATAAGATGCACTTAAAGAATGACAGTCAAGAAATTAGACATAGCAACCAAAACATATTTGAAAACATAATATGGCAATTTAAGTCATGTAACAATTTAGTTAATATTTTAATTAATAGTTGTTTTAGGGTTTTCTCTGTCAACCCAACTGTTTATTATTATAGCCTAGCTAAAAGACTTCATATTTTGAAGGTCTAAGTAAAAAAGCTCTTTCTTAATGTAATTTTTCACTCAAATGCCCAAAAAAAAAAAATGCCTAATGGCCTTAATCTTTTTTTGAGGTGATTGAATTTATAATAGAGAAAATCATAGACTGTAGTTTATTAAAAAGTTATGATCAAAAAAAATATAAGTTCTCAAAACTCAATAAAATCATAAATGAAGAACTATTTCAGAATGAAAAGGTGTATCAGGTATCTAGAAGAGTAAGAATACCCTGCCTGGTGCCACACCCAACATTGCTGCTCATAAGGTTATAGATTGTTTATAATATACATATAGATAGATAAACTGACAGATTTCAATCATTATTCTCTATGTTTATATTTTATCAACGTTTCCTGTTTTCCAACTGTTTTCATATAAACAATACTAATAGTATGGGGTAGGTAAACCTATATCTATGGCACACAGCTCTGAAAGATGGTTAGGATTAGCTATGTGAAATCTCTGAAAGGGATGCTGTACCCAGGGTGAGCATTCTCTGACCTTGCAAACAACAATTACAATTCACATTAAGTCAACAACAAAGCCTATTAGTTTAATACAATTCACATTAAGTCAACTGCTAAACCTATTGATAAACTATAATTCACATTAAATCTAAAGGTCAACTACTAAGCCTATAAGTGAACTACAATTCACATTTAGTCAACTACTAGGCCTATAAGTGAACTACAATTCACATTTAGTCAACTACTTAGTCTATTAGTAAACTACAATTCACGTTAAATCTAAAGGTCAACAACAAAACCTATCAGTTAACTACAATTCACATTAGTCAACTACTAATCCAATAAGTAAACTACAATTCACATTTAGTCAACTACTAGGCCTATTAGTAAACTACAATTTACATTTAACCAACTACTAAACCTATTAGTAAACTACAATTCACATTTAGTCAACAAGTCAATTACAATTCACATTTAATGAATGACTGAGGCACTAAGCCTGTTGGTTAAATACAATTCACATTTAGTCAACTACAAAGCCATTTGTAAATTACCTACAACTACCTTGTCAACTGCAATGTCAGTTAATTACAATTAGTTGATGTGTAATAAACCAATTGTAACCAATATGGTTGTCTATGTCGGATGACCCAAAGGTAAAAGTATAAAGTGTATAGAATCATACATTTGTATATATAATTTAAACACATCTGGTTTCAGATTTGTTTTTTAATTTTCTTTTATTCTTCCTGTTTCTACATTTCCTTTCTTATAGTTTAAATTGGTCGGTAATCTGATACTCTACTAAAAACTATTGTTTTTAAAACCCACGGTACTTTTTGTCTCCAATTCTACTGACATTTCATGCCACACATTTCTTTCAATTATATTACAAAAAAGAATGTGGCAAGCTATTATGTAATCTGTCCATGGTCAAAGTTCCACTAGTGCTTTGCAACATACTATATTATTTAATAGCAACCTTTTTTACTGTCCAGATTTTCACATGCATGTGTGATTTTGAGCATCGCAAACATTGACGAACAAAGCTTAATAAAAATAGAAACCACCAAGATATGATAATAAAATAGATAATTGCTTTACAGCTAATAAAATGTCATGAAATTCACAAGTGAGTCAGAATTATCTCCCAATGACTCTCAAACTATGGACTGTTATGATGGCTTACCATATTCAAGGTAGATTCAGCTTTACAGAAACTGTCAATTGCCAAATGGCTTTTAATCTTTTGAAAATACTAAGTTTCATGACAATACTGATTATAAAGAAAATGAAGAATTGTGAACTAAATGAACCTTTGAGTCATAATTCTCCAAAAGCATTCAAAAATGTTTCAGTGCCTAGATATCTTCACATATTACCTGTGTCAATTCCAAATTGATAAACACAGGTTGTAATATGTTTGAACATGTCTAGAACCAGAGGTTGGTGGTTGAACATGTCCAGAACCAGAGGTTGGTGGTTGAACATGTCTAGAACCAGAGGTTGGTGGTTGAACATGTCCAGAACCAGAGGTTGGTGGTTGAACATGTCTAGAACCAGAGGTTGGTGGTTGAACATGTCTAGAACAAGAGGTTGGTGGTTGAACATGTCTAGAACCAGAGGTTGGTGGTTGAACATGTCTAGAACCAGAGGTTGGTGGTTGAATATGTCTAGAACCACCGGTCTAGAACCACAGGTTGGTGGGCATTTCTAGTAACATAAAGGAACCATGGTCGCCTAGATAATACACATTCTTTGCTGCAAAATTTAGGAGATGCTTCCTCCATCCATGAATGATATAAGGAGTTATGGATGGCATAGTACGGTGCCAATTTCACATCACATCCAAGGAAGTAAGGCCTGATTTGTCTATCATTTTATTATATTTCTGTTCAGTATATGGTCAGTATAGGTAAATATTAATATATATTTACTGACAGTCTGGCCCACTTTAATAACAGGAAACTGTCTATAGAAATAGAGAAATAATAATTCAAATCATATCATACACACCATATTGCTAACAGATGGATTAGATGGTAGGAAGTTAGTGATTTACTCTCAAACTTTCTAAAACCCCTTTTACATTACATTATTCCGTTTCAGAACAGAAGATGAATTTTGTGTAATGTTAACAGGCCTGTGAGAACTGTTAAAATTCTGGCATTTCAGAGGAAGTGGTCTTGGAAAATGCTAACACTTCCCAAAATGGTTTACTGAGTATGCCTTATCAGCAACCTTAACCTTTCCTGTCAAATTTCTTCATTATTCAGTGCCATTGTTGTTTACATTTGGATGACTACAAGTACCAAATGCCAAGAACACATTCAATATACACTAGAATTGAAGAACACTTCTCAGATCACTTGATTTACATATCACTTTTTATTATGGCCTGATCTGGACAGAGAAAGGTACACTTTATAGCAGCTTGGTGTAAATGGGGCTTTACTCTTAGACTCTGTTATTTTACTTGAAGGTAGTAGGTGTGGCGGCTCAATGTTAAGTTTAACTTGTTTTGTCTTCAGTTAAAAAAATTTTAATATTGCACTCAAGTTTCCCCTAGATTTTATGACGTAGGTTTGTAGTTAAGACACATTTGTTCCACACAATGAGACTACAACTAAATATGTTGAAACGTTTTGAACCTTGTCTCCATTAACATACACCCCATATCCAAAATATCTTTATACATGAAAAGCTATTTCATGACAGAGTGTCATTCATAGTGGAAAGCGACGGCAGCCAGTTGGTAAGGTTGGTGCAAAAAATCATCACCCAAGACTATTCATGTTCTTGCAGCATTAGATGATTCTGTAACAATTTGGATCATGATCTTATTAACTTATAATTTTATAGATGATAAAATGAGAATAGATCATGTTATTATGGTGGTCTATAAATTATACCTACATCACTCTTACTAATAACATACAACATTAAATCTTATTATTATCAAATTATCAACATAAAACATAATTAGATTTTTTATCCTTGTGTTTTTATAACCTAGTAGATAGGTTGGGTTTAAATTAATTAATTTTTTGTGGGTTAGTCTAAGCCCTACAGGCTTCCGCACGATGGGAATTGGGCATAGAAGCGACATAAGCAAAAACAGTCAACTTTACATCTTTACAAGTCTTTGAAGGAAAGTCTCTTGTTTTATTTATCAGTGTCAAGGTTTCTGTTATTAAAATCATAGCTTGAACCTTCAGTATTGGTGAGAGTAATCTTCAAACCTACCAAGTCATCCTGGAAACTGTGCTCACAGAAATATTAGATACAGCTGCAGACAATATTTACATTAACAAACATGGCCACGGTTAAATTTCCTATGCGAATGACTATTCTTTTTCCATGTCAGCCCCTTCGACCTACAGGGGACATACTTGGGTTGGAAAATCCAAGGTATTATCTGGACCTATGCCAGGATTTAACCCTGTACCTTCAGGCTAGAAGGTAAGTCACTGGGCCACCACAGCTCTCCAATCGAATAAGAAAAACAAGGTTCTTTTTGATTTTAGAAAATTCATCAAGAATTGTTTATTTTTGCTAAAATATATGTGAGATGGAATCTGTCTATGTAATGTTTTTAAACTATTAACCATGTTATTATTGTTGAAATAGACTCCTATCATACCTCATGGGCTGAAATAAATCAAGATTTGATTGAGATCAATTTCTCAGCTTGTGTGTTTGTTTTTGTTGAAAATATATTTCTATTTAGACAGCCATTGATCTGATATCCTAATTCATGTTAAAAAGTCTGAGAAATTCCAGATGGTGACTCATGTTTTTGGCCATTTTGGATTTTTTTGTTGAAACTAGGTATATAATCTCGTTCTATTGGGAGCAATAATTGTATAGAAGTAGACTCCTCAAACTTGAAGTATTATCAGGTGTTTCGAAAACTGTTAGCTTGTACTGCTTCATAGAATATATTTTCATGGCAAATATCAGTTTTAAACTGCTGATTGATGGAGAACTTGTATTACAGTAGTAAAATTCTGTTGTATGATCATGACTGCATCATTATTAAAACTTTAGTAGTTGAATATGGTATAAGGGATGGAGGTAAAAGATATTCATGATGATGTGTAATTTTCTAACTTGTCAATCAACACACATTACAGGATTTTTTAATACTATGGACATAAATAGTAAACTTGTAAATGATGTAAGAGTATTGTACAAAGATCATTATACGCCCATATGAAATGGGGGGCGTATATTGTCGTCACCCATGTCCGTCCGTCCGTCCGTCCACAATTGCTCGTAAACACTCTAGAAGGCACAATTCTTGACAGATTTTGACGAAACTTGGTATGAGTGTTCGTATTCACCCAAGGATAAACCCTATAGAAAAATCAGGGAAATCGAAAAATATGTAGTATGAATTATTGCCCTTGTTCTTGAAAACGCGTTCAATTTTTAGCTCATAAACACTCTAGGAGGCACAATTCTTGACAGACTCTACAAGTCACAATTTTTTTGTTCATAATCACAATTTACAATAGATGTCATTATTTTCCTGAGAAACTATTTTGGTTAACAAATAAGAAAATTTAATTTAATCATTTAACCTAACCTAACCAGCCACCATACATGTACAGCATCATAAGATACTATAAATAGACCAAGTGGAAAATCCAAGACAGATATCCAATCATAGCTTAGTCATGTGACATCCCAAGATGCAGCAGTTTATCTGATTTCATTTTATAAATGTCATTCAAGAGAAAAGGTTTGCTTAATCATTTCATTTTCACCAATTGTGCTGATACAAAAATGAAATTAAACATGGATCATAGGGGAAAGGTTTTGTTTTGCTGGATAAGTAGGCTACTATAGAAATATAATCTGCCAATACACAATTCATGACAGACTTATTGAAATCACCCAAGGATAAATCTGATCAAAAATCTTGTAAAACACGTAATTTTTATTCTACAAAGCAAAAGTCTAAAACAAATTTGACAACTTGATGAAATTGATGACAATCAAAACTAAACCTTTTGAAATATAAAATACAAGTTATTGCCGTTATTCTTACAAATGTGTTTGATTTTTAACTTGTGATGGAACAGTTTGTGATGGATTTGGGTATAAGTTGAATATTTCCTGGTGTCTATGTTTGCTATTTTCTAACAAATGTTCAATTTCAAACAAAGCTATCAGTGGGCGTATATTACCTTGCCTGGCAAGCTATCTTTTTGACTAGTTAGAATTCAAAGCAATTTGGATAAAGTCACCAATTTATTGTTAAAGGGACATGGGTTGAACAAACACAAATAAAACTAGTTCAAAATACACACTCGCTGCTAATCAAAGCATACCACATGCACCTTTCATTACAAAAAGCATGTTTATCCATGTCCCCTAGTTGTAAGGTGCTGATAGTGCCAGCCCCCTGAGTCTAAGGTTACATATAGCGAGCAAACTGACTCATTGGACAATAACTGCTGAGGTTTGGATTCAAATTCCAGCAGTTCAGTGGTAGACCATTGGTCCAAGCTTCCCGTGGAGTGTCTGAGACTGTTCTTACCGCGAAAATTTTTGAAAAATAGAAGTGATAATTTAATTCTAACATATATTTTGGGATAAATACATTAAAAATCATAATCTTAAATATGACAGAAATAAAGTGGGGTACACTGATGTTCACATTTTTAACTGGTAATCCTAGTTCTTGCAAATTATTAAAAAAAAACATTAATTTTTGTTTCAGGTAACAAATGCAATTCGTAATTCTCTTAAGGTCAATCCATCAGGTCACCCTACAAATGGACCAATGGGAATTCAGATATCAGCCACCAATGTGACACCATCAACATCATTAGGGAAGGCAGCCATCACCAATGCATCATTTAGAACCAAAAAACTTCCAGGTAAGTTCCAAACTACTGACATAGTAATTATTAAGTAAATCAACATTTAGAAGTCAAGACAATAGCCATTTGTCAGGTGATGCACATTCTCTCCTGCCAACATCAGCAATCAATTACAGAACGTTATACTGAGGACTGAGGAACCTCTGGTGAATCAAACCCTCTTATTCCCGAAATCTATTTTATTCTATCATTTTTATTTATTGATATTGATATTTTTATCTATAGATATACATTATCTCAGTAGGCTTTTTAATCAATTTAAAGATAGCTTTGCCTTAAACGAAACTTTTAAATAGCGCCCTGGTATTGACTGTATAGGCTAATTGTTTTAAGAACAATGGAATTCCATTGATTCCATCATTTAGAAGAGATTTTATAGAGATCAGGATGAGATTTCAAATCTTTGTCACACTGCGATAGACCTTAAAGTGTACTTTTATTTTCATAGAATTATACAAATTATTAAAACAGCTCCAATATCAACCACAACAATAATATTATAATATTGTTTATTATTCAACTAGACCTTGTTAACTGGGGTTTTTATAGTAAAATATCCTTGCTTCATTAAACCAGGAGAATTTCGATTTCCTCTAACTGAATTCTGTGAAACTTGGCAGAATTTCGGACTAATAAAGTTTGACATCATATTTCATCCTGATTAGGATAATGAAGGCAGACAAGATCTTGCAAAAAAGGAGAATCTACTTTGTTCCAATTTCCATCCCTCAACGAATCTGTAACCCTGTAGCACGAGGGGCCTCAGGATTATTGTCTCATTGTAACTGACAGGAGAAACCTGGTTGAAAGGAAAATTAGTTTTGAAGATTTGAGTACATTTATGTGCAAGCAATGAAATTGTTGTGTTGAATGTACTGAATATGGTTGTGGAAAAAAGCGTCTATCCCTAAAATTAGCCCTTATTTTTCTGTGAGTTCTGGACATTTCAATTGAGTTTGTAAGCCACTGTACTCACTAAAATGAAGTCAAGGTTCTTTCCCAGTACTCATTCATTATGTACCAAAAGATGTGAAGATTTTAGAACCCTAGACATGAAGATAGTTAAATCCCTCATTGCACACTGCATTTATTACCATTGATCATTAACATAATAAATCTTAGAAAAATAAGATGTAAAACTCCACTTCTTTTCAATTTGGTTTGGAATTAAAAGAAGTGGTATTTTAAGATTCAGAAATTTGACAGGTGACCTCGTTCCTTATATTCTTGACCTTGAACAAGAGAAACTAGGTGGCCATATTGATATTTTACTCTAGTTTTTCAAGATTTGAAGAACAGCTGAAGAAATAATATTTGTATTTTGAATCTTGTCCTCTCATTCCGAACACACTAACAATCAGTTTTGATCTCTGACACTTTGCATGGCCATTTTGGTTTAATAACATATGTTCCATGATCTTTTGTATCAAACTCTGTCATCTAGAAATAGATAGAAATGATCCCAAGTGGAATTTTACATTAATAAATAGCATATTTACGACAATTTGATGGTAAGATTATTTGTGAAACTGATTCCTGGATTGAATCCCTTTCAAAGTGTTTATATTTAGCTTATATTTAGATATTGAATATATGTAATAGACATATTGAAAAAAAAAATTTTGGCATGGCAAACATGTCTTACCAGCCATGTGTTACCTACAGTGCAGATTCCACATTGAAATGTATAAAACTCATCTATTTAACCATCTACAAAATCTCAAGCTATTATGAATCTCATTACTTATACCTTGACTGCAATAGCCACCTTTCTTGTGTCACAGAAGTTTACAAATGCAACAATTTGGTTGTATGGTTACCTTTCGCATACAGCCAATTAGAGGCCTTGACTGAAAGTCTGTAAACAATGTCTGTATTCGCTGCATTCTGATACAAGAAAGAACATGGATATTTTACAAGGTATAGAAGTTTGTAATGGCTTGACATTATGAAGATGCTGTCTAACTGGTTGAACTGATGATTAATTAAGCTGAAAATGATCATAAATAAATGATGGTAATTGGAGTAGAATTGATGAGGTCGCTTTGATCTTTACCAAAATAAATGGCTGGCTTTTAAAGCTTAGAATAGATATAAAACTCATAACAAATCTCTACTGTTTATTCTCTGGTAATGTTCAGATAAATAACTCAATGACTTGAAATAATCTGGAATTTAAAGAGATTTTGTCATCAAAATATTTCCCTTTGGAACTTCCTGTATCACTTTTCAGATGCCTACGCCTACCTAGGAGTTTTAATGAACTCCTTCTCCCTTATAAAAAACCAAAACTGAACTAAAGTAACATCAAAAGTGTAGGACATGCAGTGCTTTGATTGATATATTTGTTAATCTCAAATCAAATTTAATGATTGACCAATCAGATGACCTATTGAAAATTTGTAAATATCTCCTCATGGTTTTTTTTACGAAATATGGTAGCAGAAGACGAAAAACAGCTGGAAATCTGAGAGATCTGTGAGAAACAGGTCTAGTTATGTCAATGTTATTGTTGTATATTTTCAGATGATATTCCAGTACCAGAAGATGAAGAAGTGAGTACAAAGCTCCCATCTATAGACGAAGACACAGGAAGTGATGGACAATCAAATACTCCCAGCAATCATAGCAGTTCCAAACATAATTTCAAAATACCAAATTTACCAAATCTACCTAATTTGCCAAATTTACCAAATTTACCCACTCTCCCTCATTTTGGAAAAGGAGGTAAGAAAGACAAAGGAAGAGGAAAAGATAGAAAAGACTCGGATGCTAGTATGAAATCTTCACCTGCTCTGAACGGAGAAAATCCGTCTGATAATACCTCACGGCAGCCGTCGAAAAACTCTGAAAATATTGAACTTCAACCAATGGTGAAGAAGAGCACTAGTCTTCACGATGATCCAACTGTTGCTGCTTATAGTTCTGACGATTCTTCCAGTGTTCACTCAGAATCAGTTGGCTTTATGGGACATTCTAGCAGTACATCAACAATTAGAGAAAAGAAAAATAATTTAACTAATAGCTTAACCAACCCCGAGTCCTTAAATAGTACAGATATGTAGTTGTTGTTTCAAACATATCTTTTTGTTTAAAAGAACTTGAGTATCTATTTTGGGAATTAACTCAAAAATCAGGAGCCTTATTCTTGAAAACTTAACATAACCCTTAAAACTAATTTATTATACAATTATATTACAAATTTCTTAAATTCAGGATTTTATCTTACTTAAGTTATTGAGATTGAGGACCCTGATTATAATGCAGTGTCTTAGTTTCGGTTGACTCAACTTGCCATCTGTGATCTGACAAATTTTGATGAAAAACATGTTCAAGTCAGTAAGATATTTACCAATCAAGTTTTCTAGACATATATGTGAAGAATTCTGGGAGATTCAGCTGGAAAAATTTTATATCAACCAACTCTTACTGCTTTATGCACCACTAAACATGTCACTATGTGTATGGCAGACTTCTAATTAATTCTTATATCTGTATCATTGATATGCATATCCTAAAAAAAAATACTGTAGTGTTTGTTAAAATAGGGTTATTTATAATAACATAATGGAACTATAGCTATGCTATTTTGTTGAGGGAAATGGGGTAAATCATAATGTTGATAGGGAAAAAAGATTTTTTTCTCCTGTATATATGCAAATGTTCAGGTTCAGTGGCTCAAAAAATGGCTGTGGCATTTTTGTTTTAATTGCCGAAACCATCTTCACAATTTCAAGCTATTACAAACTGTGTCTGATACATTGACATTATTAAACACCTTTCTGGTATCATGGAATGCAGCAATTTGATTGGATTCTACGTCAAGGGCTGATTCGCTGTATTCACTGGCATACAATCCAATCAAATTGCTGCATTTACAACATCTGTGATACAAGATAGGTGGCTATTGCAGTCAAGGTATAAGAAGACATTTGTAGCAGCTTTACATTGTTAAGATTGCCAAAAGCCTGAGAGAGCCCTTTCTTATTAGTGTCTTTTAATAAGTCTTCGTGTAATTTTTCTAGATATGTAGCACTTGATAAGAATATGCCATAATTTGAAGTTACTTCTTTTCTGAAATGTGATCTCCCTTATTATTGTATGGAAAAAAATATAGGCCCTACTGACAAATTTGACAAATATAATTCATATGCAAAGTAGGCTATAAAGTACTAGCAGAAATATAATATTTCCAAAATATAAGTAATATATTATTGAAAGTAATATAATTAGAAGAAATATCTTATAAATTTAAGTAATATGATTGTAAAATTAGAAGTATTATAAAAAATAATAAGTAATATCTTATAAAAACATGATTGTTTGAAGTATAATGCAATTTATACAAGATATTTTTATAAATTTAAGTTATATGTTTGTGAAAGGTATTATCTTAATATAAGAAATATGTATCTAATCATATAAATATAATTATGAGTAATATCTGAAAAATAGAAGTATCATATAAATATAATTATGAGTAATATCTGAAAAATAGAAGTATCATATAAATATAATTATGAGTAATATCTGAAAAATAGAAGTATCATATAAATATAATTATGAGTAATATCTGAAAAATAGAAGTATCATATAAATATAATTATGAGTGATATTTTAAAAATAGAAGTATCATATAGATACATGTAATTTTGAAATATTGTTCATCGAAGTTGAAGTATTGCTGATGTAACCTAGCCTGGAATAGGGTCGTTCTGAAATTGAGAAGTATATCTTAATTTGATTTCTTTATTTATTTATAGCCTGACTTTATCATAATAATCTGTTGAATGCAAGAACTTTTTTACCTTGTGCCATAATTTGTTTTCTTGTTTCCATCTTGAAATTCCAAGAAGGATTGATTCAAATCAAGGATTTTATAAGGAATTAGACTTTATTGTTACCATGCAAGGAATCTGTCTTGATATTTTAGTGTGAGAAGGAAAGTTAATAGACAACTGTTTTAGGCACAGTTGCAAAATTTGTTTATCTTCAAAATTATTGGTGCAAATTAATATTTATATTATGTTTGGTAGAAATGAATGGTGACATCAGAAATCGGTTAATTAATATAAATAACAATTGATAACTTCAAGATATAGTAGACGGCTCATCTTTATGAATTAAATCAGATCTGTTTTTTCAACAGATAAAGTGATCATTTAAGGGATTTATGCCATGAATTAATATATTTTCAGTTACTGGTATATATATAATATTGATATGATATATGTTTGTATGTATAGAAAACAAAATATATATATTATTGTTATAGACAAAATGTACATTTTAACTATTATTAAATTGTTCTTTTATAACTGTATAATATATAGTTTCATATGCCTCCATGAAGCCATGTAGTGGTGCGTTGAATGATACAGTTCTTAAAGAGATTTTTACAAAACATTGTGAAATGATCATCACTTGAGGATATAGATATTGAAATTCAAAAATATAAGACTGTTTACTATTAAGTCTATCTGGGATGCCTTCTTTAATTTGTTCAATAATAACTGTATTCTATCACAGAATATCAGAGGCAATGCCATAGATTTTGAAATATAAAGGTACATTATAAAATGTCAGTTTTAATTTGACTTGACATTTTGTGAAAACAGAATTTCATCTTCTGCCATTAACATCATCAAAACTATAAAAATAAATATCTTGGAAAATAACATATTAGGTTAATAAAGTTGTCCATTCATTCATCAATCAAATGACAAGTTCTGTAAGAAACAACAGAGGCAAGACTCAGAAACCACATAGGCTAGGCTAAGAATTCAAAGAGTTTTGACTCAGAAACCACAGAGGCTAGGCTAAGAAACCACCGAGGCTAGGCTAAGAAACCACCGAGGCTAGGCTAAGAAATCACAGAGGCTTCACTCAGAAACCACACGGGCCAGACTCAGAAACCATTGAGGCTAGACTTTGAAACCACACAGGCTAGAGTCAGAAACCATTGAGGCTGGTCTTTGAAACCACAGAGACTAAACTCTAAAACAACACAGGCCAGACTTAAAAAACGATGAGGCTGGAACAAGAAACCACTGAAGCTTGAATCAGAAACCATATAATAGACTTAGAAATACAAAGGCTAAACTAAACAAAAGGTTAGACTCAAATACCACAGAGGATAGAGTGAGAAATCACAGAGACAAGACTCAGAAGTCATAAAGGATAGTATCAGATGTAACTGATGTTCTATTGGGTATTATTAGTAGAATCTATTAATCAAATGTTACTGATATTAACATAATGGAGGGTGCCAAGACATGAAGACAATACCGAGAGATTCTATCTATAACAGAATAATGATGAGAACACTGTCTTGTTCTCTTTACTACAACATATATACTATATAGTTAATAAATGTTAGTAGTCAATCATTGACCTGTGAAATATCTCCCACACAACCCAGTAAATCATCCTTATAGAATATAGTCTGGACGTTACTATATAGGACAAACCAATCAAATGCATCTTATTCTTGGGTAAAAGATGTGCGTACTGTACCAGAATGAGCAAATGAAGAAACACCTAAAGTTTGTTTTCCATCCTTGGGGGTTAACGCCTATTCTGTGTCAGCACCTCCGATGACAAGGGGAAACACGAAGATAATCCTATTTCGGGATGTTGAAATAAAAACATTCTGAAATGCAAGCATCAAAATGTTTCAAAGTCTCGTGGTTCAGATGAAATTACATCATTATATCAGTTTGAGGAACTGGTGGAGCCAAATTTGCCCAATTGTTTCTCCGTCATTTGTCGGGCTAAGATAAAGGATGCATTCTAATATGTATCATATCCTAGCACCTGGAGAGAAAAGCTTTTCACTTTTAATCTCGACAAGCTGCACCATCTGCTTCTATAAAAGTATTAAGTTGATCTAGGATGATGTCATCTCAACCCTAACACTCTGACCCGATATAATAATCCATTTCCTACTCTTCTTTACAACATCAAAGATACACCACTTCCTGATGCCCGCTAACAAGAACAATATGGCGATTCTGGTTTCCAGGGCAACCAGGTGTGTTTGTTTCTTAGAAATGTGAATCAGTTTTATCTCTTTCTGTAGGCAAAGGAATGACTTTTCAGTTTCAAGTCTTCGGGAAAATCGAATCATGATATCACTTTGGTATACAAACTTAAGAATAATATTTTATGATCAGTACACTTGAAAGGCCGTGGCGGTTATATTACGGACCACATAATTATGCCCCTCTCCCCGTTAAAGCATTGATTATATTATTTTTGATGCTTATATTATTATATTATTTAACATTATTATATTATTTAACATTTCTCTATCAAAATCATTCTGACCACAAATTCTCGCCAATTCTTTCACCTTTCAAATCTTAAATGCGTTAATATGGGCTTGGGCTCTTCAAAATGTAATCAAATTTCACCAATGTACCTGAATTACCAGACTAAAACCTGTCACAATGCTGTCATTCCTTCGTGTCTGCTATTACTATTATTTGGCGGTCATTTGGAAGCCATTAGGAACATACTTTGACGTCTGCCTGAAACTAGAAACAATACAGTTGGGAACATTGTTTCCATTCTTACCCAATGTGGGAGTTTACGAAACGGAAGGAAAGGTTGGCGTTAAGGACTCGCCAATAGATGACTGATCGTGTCATTTTTCATGTGTTTTTGTCTTACTATGGAATGGCTGCAGTATTTAATAGTTTAAAAATGGTTCCGTGGTAGCTAAACATCTTATTAAAATGATTGTAAAAGGTTTTCTAATTTTTTTTTATTAAAATGTTTTCTTAATCGGCGACACTGATAGCGTCAATTTCCACCATTCATTTGCGATAGTGAAGTAATTAGAAAGCTTCTTTTATTTCCTATTTGCTTGGACATCAAGAAAGAACTATCCTGCAGACATTTATCACAATATCGGGGTTTCAACCTTATTGGTCGATGCTGAGTTAGGCTTTGTGAAAGCCAAGGGTGGAATCATGTGTTCTGAAAGGTTGATTATGGCCTGTCACATTGCTTATTTTAGTCAAGCTAAAATTGAACTGGGAACTCAGGAGTTCGAAGTTAA